CGATAGATTTGGTTCGTGTTCGAGTGATTGTGAAATCTATTCCGTGTCGTTTTACAGTGTTAATTACAAAGCCCAAGAGAGCAAGAAGCTGACACAGGTTAAATGCGCTCGAGGGATCATGAAAAAAAAAACGTATTCGATGTTCCCATTACGTCACTGCGAAGGTGATCCTGGCCAGCCAACGCCGGGTATTTTATTTTAGTCCTGAAATGCCGATTCTTTTTATTTTTGAAGCAGACAAAACAACAACCTTAATACCTTCCAGCGTAAAATACGTCATTCGTAATTTCAAGATTTAAATTCCGTTTGAGATTGACGAAATTCGTATTGTTACAGAATTGATAAAACCATCTAATTGTCCGTTCATATACTATTGTATCTCCGTATTTTTCAAAGCAAGCATCGATCACGTTCAAATTTTACAAAGATCCTCTTTTATTCTTGTAAACACGCTATAGGCCAAAAACTTAGTTCTAATACAAGACTTTTTTTTTATATGTATAATTTTTTATTGGCGATAAATTAGCAACAAATGACTAATAGTTCACATAGCTTCCATAGGATCAAATGAGGATCGTAAATAAAATTCCTACAAGCAAAATTTCTTAATGCGTAACATTGTTGTGATTTAAACATTACCTTGTCATCGGAACACTATCGGAACACTTTGTTTTAAATTTAAGTTTTATAATCGGAGCACTATCGAAACACTTTTTAAATATAAGTTTTATTGTCGGAACACTATCGAATAGCTCCGATCGAAAGAATCGATTAAATATTGAATGCAGAAGGATATTTAATTTCCAAGAACATCTTCGTTCACTTGTCAGTTATAGTTTTATCTAGTTAATTAAGAAAGTAATTATGATAGTTATTAAAGTTAAGTTTTGGATAAGATGGTATTACGAATAACATACACTTAGTCATAAAACAAAGGAATTGTTAACTTTTATGAGAGTCTAAACTTGAGCAATTTGAATGCACACGTGTTTACATTTATGGCACTTATTGAGCTAGGCTTAGAGTCAATATATCGGCCAGATTACCCAGGCAGCCTGTCGGAGCTGACCATCTGTCCGGATTTTCAGCCTAATAGGCTCAGGTATCGAAATAAACCTCCCACACCCACACACACACAGACACCTACAACAGCTACACCGTCCAACCCAACCAACCCAGCCACTCACCGACCAGGCAACTGTTTCGATTACCTGTGAACCGTTCTCTCTGCCAACTTCACGTTGTACCTACATATATCTGCCTCTCTCTTTCCCACGCGTACAGTGGAGAAGTGCAAACGCCGCTGGCGTCAGATTCGCAACGATTATGTCCGCTGGACGACCTCGGACGAGCATCGTCACCGCAACGGGCTGAAGCGACCGGCTTTCTACTTGGCCGAAGAGCTTAAGTTCTTGAAGCCGCATCTGTCTCTGTCGGATACAGGTGAGGGAATCGAGAGGGAATCGCCCGAGCCAAAACGAGAGCGGGATAGCAAGAGCAAGAGCAAAGAGCCGACGCTCGATGAATATAAAGGCAAGAAAAAGGATATTGCCGAAGCAGTGGAGGAGCAGCCGCTGGCTAAACTGAAACAGGCAGCTTCTGGCAATATGACCACGGAGCCCGACACGAATAAACCAGATAAAGATAAACCGAAAGTTAAGGAAGAAAAGAAGCAGCAGCAGGAGAAGGAGAAGGAAGAGCAAACGGAGAAGCAGGACAAGGACAAGCCAAACGCCGCAGAAACGGACGAAGTTGCCAGCGAGGAGGACACAAGCTCCCAGCCGGACGACAAGGAGCTGTCAGAGGGCACTGCCACGCCCACAACATCATCACTAGGCTCAGTTGCCAGCTTCGCCGGGACCAGCAACAGCGCCGTTGCCAAACAGCCGGAGTTCTTTATCAAGCAAAGCAACACGAACTCCTCATCCAATTGCTTGATCATAGGCAAGAAGCCACCCGTCTCCCCGGCCACGGATCCGCTCTACGAGCAAATGGCCGAAGACAGTCCCGATGAGACCGCCAGCGTGGGCGGTGGCAGGCGCCTGCGTCGTGCGGCCAATCGCATCAAGCAGCTGCCCATTCAAAAGGCAGCCGCCGAACAGCGTCTGACACGGCTGCAGCGCCGCAAATCCATGACCATAGCTGCGGCCAACAGCTTGCGCAGCTCCACCTCGCCCGTCAAGATGACCCCGGTGCCCCGGGCCAGTTTGCCGGCGAACGCGACTCAAGCGAAGACACAGGCGAAGGCGGCGCACAAGCCGTCACCAAAGCCAGCTCTGCCCAGCAGCCGGGATGATATATTTCCGCGTCCTCGTTCCACGGCACCGACGGCACAGCAGCTGGTGCTGGCTCGACGACCAGGTCCTGTGCCTGGCCAGCAGCAACAACAACAGCAACAGCAGCAGCAGCAGCAGCATCCACATCCTCAAGCCGGACAAACAACTCAAACTGTGCAGCCGCGTCATCATTTTGGTGTAGGTCGTCCGCCGGGTCCTGCGCGCCTTGCTGCAATGGCTGCTATGAACAAACGTCCACTGGCTACGCCGCCAGGATTAAGAGCCAACTTTGCCGGACAGCGCGCCCCAGCGCCAGTCAACATCATGGAGAACTTCAAGCAGCCCCCGACGGCCACGTCGACATCGCAGCCTCAGCAGCAGCTGCAGCAACAGCAGCAGCAGCAGCAGCGTCTTGTGTCCACCAGCAACACGTTGGTCATCAGCACCACCAACTGCCCGGCGAGCAGCAACAGCACAATGACCAGCACTTCCAGTTCCACGCCCGGCCCGAGCTTTTCCACGCAGACGGCCTCGATTACCGCCTCGCCAATTGTAAGCACAACTCCGCCCGTGTTGACCCTGATCAAACGCTGCGAGCGGGGCAATCAGACGGAGTGCCAGGATATATTCTCGGACGAGCACTTTCTGGACATGGTGCGGCCGCAGATGAAGGAAATGAATCCACGCCAAAAGATGCACTTCAAGCAGAAGATCTTTCAGGCCCTAATGGAGACCTTCGACGATGCCACCGACTTTCCCAACAGCGGCGAGGTCCAGCACTTCAATATTAATACGCCCTCGGGCTTCGATCACGTCAGCGATGGCGAGCTGCGTCTCATCCGGGAGCTGGTCAGCATGGTGAGCGCTGCCAAGCATACCAGCGATCGAGCTCCCAGCAGCTGCCCCCCAGCTGCGACCACGCCCAATCAGCGCGTGTCGGCCGGCAAGCCTCCAAATGTTGTGCAGCGCATCTTTAGGCCAGCCCACGTGCAAGGAGCAACTGCCATTGGCGACGACAAGAAACTCTATCGCATACTCCAGATGAACAACCACACCAAGATCGTGGCCGGATTCAATGCATCGGGCGCTCTGACGGGCGCTGCCGGGCGCAAGGACAGCATTGACAGCAATTCCAGCTCGAACACAATCCCGCTGACCAGCGGGCCCAGCCGTGTGGGCACCTTTATTGTGCCCGGCAGCAGTCCGAAGACACCGCGCAGTATCGTGGATCCCTTGGAGGCGCTTTTCAACCATTCACCAGGCGCCTTTAGCAAAATGACGCCCACGGCTGCCTCGTCCGGAATCTCCTCCAAGCCCGTGCTTGTGCGCCAAATGGGCAGGCGCTACTCGGTCTGCGGCGCCGGTGGTCCCAGCACAGCTCTCGCCTCCACCTCCCCCGCCGCGGCTGCCAATGCCGCCCAGCTGGAGGCTGCGCTGCTCAAGCGACGCATGGCGCCCGCCTCGCAGACCATGGTGCCGCCGCCGCAACGTGCACGCTACTCCCAGAGTCCCGTGGGCAGCAACCATATCGCCGCCATTGCGCCCGGGAATAGCTTGTTGATGCGCAGCGTCACGTCCGGCGGCCAGAAGCAGCCGTCGCCCACTGGGGGCGGCGCGGTGCCACAGAAAACGCCGCAGATTGCCAGTATTCAGGGCAGCGCCTTTAATGAGTTCGCCACGCCCACCTCGGTGCGCAGTGGCAACTCGTCTGGATCTGGCGGCAGCTCCGGCTCCTCATCCATATCGCCGCTGAAGCGCAGCATGATCGTGGCCAATGTGAAGGGCAGTACAGGAGGCCAGCAGCAGAAGCCAGCGGTGTCCACGTCGCGGCCACCATTAAACGCCGCGCCCGTTCCGATCAAACAGTCGACGTCTCCGAGTGCAAATGTCGCGAATCTATTGGCTGATTCTCGTGCCCAATCCCAATCCCAGCCGCTGCCACGCCCCGCGGCCAGGCAGCAGGCCGGGCGCGAGGACTCTGAAATGGCGGGCATCATTGCGGCCGACGACTTCGACATGGGTCGCCTGAAGCGCGAGCCGCAGGACATTATGGATGACCAGGACGCCGACATATTGGGCATGTAGTTGCCCACAAAAAGAAAAAAAACAGCCAAAACAAAAAAAGGAAAAACAATTGCAAATATCCATTGAATTTCATAATTGCGTTTATTAGCCACAAACAAATGTGGAGTAATTTTTGTAACATTAAACATTTTCTTGATTATTTACAATCTCTTATTTCATTTATACTTTCCATTTTTACATATTGTGTCTAAGCCATTTATTTGAGAGATTCGAATATTAAAAACTTCAGTCATTGAAGACAAATAAAAACATATTTTTTTTCCAAAAATATAATATGAAAATAAACAAATATTTACACCTGTTAAGCGAAAAGCCGCTAAATCAATTTGTTATTGCTCGGGTTTCAGGGGTCGCAAAAGAAAAGGTCGTCCAGGTAGACGCAAGCCGAACCAAAGATCTCTAAATAGGTTAGCCGAGGCAATAATAATACTAATAGAGGAATAATAGAGTCCTTAAGCACGCGAACCACTTGAAGATTTCGTTTTATTTCTGATTTCTTATAAACAACTTTTGATTTTGTGTGAAGCACACGACAATATTTATATAGATGTTTTTATAGCAGGCCAGAAATATTCCAGACGAGAGAATCTTATCTGAAGAGGCGCAGTAGGCAGCTTGTAAATTAAATATCGTATATATATATTTGATAAGGGCCGCGCATGTTGGCTATAAGAACACATCCCCAGCTGCCTCGCACGTTTAGTTAACTGAAGAGATTCCACGATGAAATACCTGGCAATACTTGCTCTGCTGCTGCCCCTCGTCTATGGCGCTGCGGTGCCCCATTTACAGCTGGCCGATGCCGATCTGGTGCCGGACATGTCCACGGCCGAGGATGGCATGATGCTGGCCCGTGTGCCGGACATGTCTGTGGCCAGCGATGCCGCTGACATGCCCAGCAAGCGCCAGGTGCCGCCCTTCCGCTTCATGAGCGCCCAGCTGCTTGATGCCCAGCTGGCCAACGCCGACATTGACCAGGTGCCCGACATGTCTGTTGCCGCCGATGCCGAGGATAACGAGAGTAAGTTCCGTGCACGATCCGTCGCCAAGTTGAAGCCGTTCTAACTGTGCATCATATTAGCCGTCGTCAAGGTGGAGCCATTCCAGGCTGATGCAGATCTTGTGCCCGACATGTCCGTTGCCGCCGATGCTCTGGATCAGGGTGAGTTCTTAGCCAACTTGGTTCTCTTTCAAGTGCCCCCTCTGAACCCCTCTCCCCAACAGTGGCCGACAATGCCGATCTGGTGCCCGACATGTCCGTGGCCAGCGATGCCGAGTAGAGGCCCGATCCCACTCCCTCCCTCCTACTCCCAACTCACGTCTAATTTATAACTAACATATGTATCGTGTATTGTATTTTCTAAGTTTTTATAGGCAGCATTAATAAATTTAAAAGGCTTAGCAAAATAGTTGCGCAAATGAATGCGCATTATTTCGTGACTGATAACGTTGAGTGCTTTGGGCACACTTTTTTTGTGTTTCCAATTGTTTTTTAATCAAATGTGATATATTGCGAATTTACCACAATTATCTGTTAGCGGGGTGGAATTGATAAGAAACGCTTGAGAGATCCAACGAGGGGCAGATTGATAAAAACACACTTAAATTGAGTTTTTTATGGCATTATTTGTTTATTTACTTTTTATTTGTTGTCGCCTTCCGCAGCTGATCTTAACTTTATGTTATGTCTTTTCCAGTCCCACAGCAAATTGCCCTCCATTTTGTTAGCCAATTACATTATTTTTAGCTCAAGAGGAAAAAATCAAATAAAATCTGATTAGCTTTGCGTCATGGTCGTAGGTTCATTTAGGTTCCCGTTCAACTAACACAATTCGTGTTTTTTCTTTTCCACGAGTATTTGTCTGTTTTTGCTCTTCTCATTCGCCTTTGTGTTGGTGGCTATTAATAAAAAGGAATTAACGGCAAAAACCGGACCCACACAAAGTGCCTGCGATCCCAATGAGGCACATGACCATAAACAACGGGCCACCACATACATACATAGGTTAATGGCATGGGGTGAGTGTCAGTGTCTGTGTGTGTGTTTGAGTGAGAGAGCGGCCTCCTCTCGCCCTCTCTCTCTCTCGTTGTTTTCGTTGTGATTTTCACACAAAAGCGCTAAAGCGGCTACTAAATTACGTGCTCATGTGTTCTAGTTTTAGAGGCAACCGACAAAGCGACGCGACATTCGCGACCACTCCCCCTCCGCCCACGCTGCAGCTTGCGGATAGGCCGCTGCATAAAAGACCAAATCGCATTTGGTGCGCTAATGAACCGCAGCGGATCTGACCAGCAGCAAAAACCAGAACCAGAACTGGACCAGACGCGGAGTCGACAGCGGCGGCTTCGGCTGGTTCAACTACCTTTTGCCGCATATTCAAAACGTAAAAATACCGTTTAAAAGTGTAACAATGCTGTTAACCATTTCAGGCTCGTGCCAAAAGCGATGGAGGGGGGGAACTCGACTGGCCGTCGCGTTGGCGCTGCAACAAAAGCCGCTTGATTAAACTGGATGTGTGCGATATGTGTGTGTGTCCGTGAGTTTCTTTTTGTATATACATACATACATACATATGTACATACATAAGTAAGGGTCAGAAGTTGGGAAGGTTAGCCAGATCAAGCAATTTATTATCTGATGTGTGAGCTCATTAAAATTAATTCTTTGAAGTTTCTTATAGCTCAAATAATTAACAAATATTATCGGCTTAATATAGTTGTATTTTTGCATACAAATATACATACATACAAAAAATTGTATGTGTGTATATGCGATCGTATCTGGTTACGCAGGCAAACGCAATATAACTGTGCTTTGAGTCCCATTCATTTTAAAGTAGGCCTCTGCGTAAACACGACTCTCTCTCTCTCTCTCTCTCTTTGACCACCATCCACAATGCTCTTACTCGCTCGCGTCTGCTCTTACTTTTCGCCCTTCCTTGCGTTACGCGTTCATTCAAGTCAAGCAAAGCAACTGGTCGATTTTCTGCAGATCCTCTTTAGTATCAAAGTTGAAGCTATTCATATGGTTCCCATTCAACTGCAAGCGTAAACATTGTGAATTAAAGCACAATAATTGCAAACAGCTTTGACTGTAGTCCGATTTCGATTGTGTTTGTGTGTGTGTGTGCGTTCGTTTTTATCTACTTACTTATTTCTTTATATTCGTGTCCGGCAAAAAAAAAGTTGCACAGAAAGTTCAAAGGCAAAATGCAAAAAGCATTGCAGAAAGCAAAGTTAAGTTTCGTTAAGGAAACGAAATGAAAATTCTTCGGCAGCGCCGCTCAGAACTAAAAGTGAAGCGATATGCATAACAACAAAAGTTCAGCCTCCGCGCCCCCTCACTTCCACTCGAGCAGCGCGGCAAGTAAATGAAGGCAGCGCCGTTGACGCCAGCAGCGAAATAAATGAAAATGCAAAAGTGGACGAAGTAAAAAGTTTTGTAATATGCAAGCGCAGCGAGTGATTCTGTGGGGGACGAAGATGAGAAGCAAAGAGCAGAGAGTACAGCAACAGCTGCAGCCACAGCAAATCAACAATTGTGAAGAGTGCAAATAAAACGTAACGGGAGCAATGTGAAGAAAGAAAGAGAAGAGAATAGGAGCAGGCAGCCGCTGTTGTGCCAGGTTTAGTATTCCATTCTTTAATTCAAATTTAGAGTAGACCATGTATGTATATATGTATGTTGTGTATATGCAAGAGTGCGCTGTATCGCGATCAATAAGTATACAATTATCAGAGCATCTCTGCACTAGCCAAAACCTTTCTTCAATAACAATGTGCTTATGACTTGTATTTCATTTGGCTCTCGATAAGATAAGTGCAAAGAATAGCAACAAGAAGCAAGAGACAATGCGAACGCGTTGACAATAGGGTAAAGGAAGATAGCAGTCAAACAGCTCTAGTGGGTTGTAGTGTATCTCGCAAACAACAGATGGCGCCACAGTGGATAAGCAAAAGGAAAAGACACAGACTCTAGGTAACGCGCGAAATTTGAAACTTTTTCAAGCCACACAAAAAAAAATGAAACCAAGTTTTGACAATCTTATGGCCAGATGCAGGCGGACAGCAGGAACTTTGTGGCTAAGTAGAGACATGCCAAAGTGACACATGACAGTCCAATGTAACCCCCCCCCTCCCCCCCCCCCCCCTCCACGTTCTCAGACGATTAGTTTAAATGCCAAAAACAACAACCACAACGGTCGACTGCGATGTCAATTTACAGCTATGTCATTTTGACAGCCCCGACCAGAGCAAGCGAAAAAAAATGACAAAAAATTGCATAGAAGAGGAAAGCACTCAAACACACATGCATACACAAACACATACATACATGTGCAAGTAGAATGAGGGATGATTTAAGTGTATTTGATTTATGACAAGAGCACAAGAATGGAAAAAAAAACAAATGGACAATGACAATATCCGAAATTCAGTTAAGTGTTGTAAACCGCTTGAAATCAAATAAAAGTATTTGATTGCCATATTGCTGCGCTAATAAGAGTTTTGTGAGGCCGCTAGCCGTCAGATGGCGCCCCTGCTCATTATGAGTGCGAAAAAAAACACTTGCAGGTCTGACAAAACACGTTTTAGCTTTTCCTTTTCATTTATCTGTACACACTTTGTTTTTTGCCCGCACATCTTCCATTTTTGCTGAGTCGTGACGGGGTGTCGTCCGTTTTATGGCTTACCGGTGAATGGTGTGTCTGTGTGTGTGAGGGGCAGGGGGAAAAACAATATGGCGGCTTGCTGTAAGCGTGATTACAGCTGTTATTGTTTCCGGTCGTGTTGTTCTTGTAGTTGTTGCACTTTAGATTAAAAATAACGTGAAGCTGTTAACTTTTATGACAACATTGGGCCAACTGTGCGGGAAATTATCAATGGAAATTGTCAAATATGAATTCTCGAATAAAACAAGATACATTCTGTAAATAAGGAAAAGTTAATATGGGATGCTATACTTTGAGTTTATTTTAACGCGAAACAATATATCAATGGCTGTCAAGATAGCACCACAGCAGCCACTTATTAATAAACTAAAATATTGCTGATCTCATTTATCATTGTGGCACCCGCTCTTGACTTTAATCAACATTCATTTGAATAATCCCATAGAAAATAATGTTCGTGTCTCATGAATTTTGCATAAAATGCGACATTAAGTAAATAAATCAATTCCACACCGCAAACTTAAATGTCATTCAACAATAATAAATAAACACAACACAACACAATACAAATACAACACACAACCGAAACTCGCGGCAAAAGAAGTACATTAATAAATAAAAAAAATAAATAAAAATAAAAAATTGAAATCACACGCAAATTGCGCAAAAATACGAATAATAAAAATAAGCGCCTGTCAAAAAGAGAAACGGCAACGATTTTCCCATAAAAAAAAAATTATTTTCCCATAGAAAATATAATTTTTGCTTTTTTTTTCTTTTTATGGCATTAACCATTTTCGTGACCCAACGACGCGACGCGACGATTGCTGAGGACGATTCATCTTCGTGTGGGTGCATTTTGGCTATTTTTTCTATTTTGGCTGGCAAAAATAAATTTAATTAGCTAACGATTGGTCGCAGCGCGCCTGCTGCAATGGGTGGAGGGGGAGGGGGGGGGGTGGCCAAGAGCAGGGGGCGCGCAAAGTTCAGCTGCTGCTTTGACATTTGGCGCTTCTGCTGGCAGCAGCAAACGTGATTGTCTCTCTCTCTCTCTCTCACTCTCGCTCACTATCTGGCCCCATCTTGCCATCAGCTGTGCTCTTCGCGCTTGATGCAGCTTTGCTTTTTTTTCTCGCGTTTTCTTATGCTTTGCAATAGCAGTAAATATTTTATTCGACTCGGTGTGCAAAATTTGCACCGCATCAAAATTTGACTCTAAGGCGTGAGTGTAAAAGTGAAATGAGTGCGACTCGCTGCTGGCTGAGTCATTTGCCCGGATTTGCAATTGCGTCCATAATAATTGAGTTATACATTTTTATACCCTGAACCCATTAAAAATGGGTATAAGGGTATATTGTATTCGTGCAAAATCCAAATGTATGTAACAGGCAGAATGAAGTATCTCCGACCCCATAAAGTATATATATTCTTGATCAGCACCAATATCCGAGTCGATCTAGCCATGTCCGTCTGTCTATCCGTCCGTCCGTCCGTCCGTCCGTCCGTCCGTATGTATGAACGCTTAGCAGCAAATTGTTCGTGTTTTGTGTAAAAGAGAGATGGGGAGTGCGTGCTTTCTGAGTTGAGTTGAGTTGAGTTAATTGAGTTGGGATTTAATTGTGAGCTGCGCTGTTATGGTACCTCCCAATAAGAAAATCTAATTGGATGCCAACAAAAAATGCTTGCGGACACATGAGTGTGCGTGTGAGTTCAGTTGCATGGGTTTTTGGCAAATTTCAAGTTAAATTTGGTCTATCTACCGAAAAGCTGGCACATACGCAACTATGAACGTACTTATCGAAGTCTTTGCAGCTGTGCTGCCATAAACACATTCTGTCCAACGAGCTGCAGCAAGACATAAACATACACAGATGTCACTCAATTAACAACGGCCAACAAATGCAGACACTGCCCAACACTGTCCAAACGATAACCAGGAATGCAGGAATGCATGTGTGGCAGGCAGAGAAGAGTTTGGGCTTGGTGTGTTGCAAGTCGGGCAAAATTGCAGAGTTTCCAACTGAGTAACAGAAAATGTTGCCCCAACCTTTGCTGGCTTCTGTGCCTGAAATTATGGCAAAAGGTAATTCGAAACAGGTTAGAGTCTACCTTATTGATGCAGCTGCTGCAATTCAATCCTTATGGAAACCTTCAAACAATGCCGTGCAGAAGGCACTTTGTTCCTGCCACGCCAGCCCAACCCTCTAGCTTCCTCCCTTTGCACCCCACACAATTGTCGATAAGTTGCCATGGTGTAGTCAATTAAGCCAGGTCTCATTCCATCCGAGCCCCGCTCGTTTTTACCTTCGCAAAAGCTTCGTGTTCGTTGTACATAAGTCGTGCTCTTTATGGCACATCCGGTCGAGCACATCCGCATCCTGTCGGGGCAGCTGTTTAGCCAACTTATTTATGCCACTTGCTGACACTTAATGCCCCCAATGCCACAGCCACACCAACACCCACACACACTCGTTAGTTCTTTGTTTTTAATTTTGCTCCAAGGAGCTGTGTGAAATTCCTTTGGCAAAATGAAAATTCCTTTGGAAGATATGTTTATATTATTGTGAATAGTTTACAGGATATATGCACATGCACAAGCCGAGCGGAGTTCGTTGTTCGTCTGTCTGGCAACAAAATATTTCCGCACTTGCATTAACGCTTTTCACTCCGACGCCTCCGTCTCCGCCTCCGCCTCTGCCCCGCTGTCTGGAATT